TCTCTTCTCCCCTCACCCTTCCCTCCACTTCCACCCCTCTGGGGTTTTTCAAAAGTGGTCTCGTCTTCCGCGGAAGCCCACCCAAATTCCTTATCTCCCTCTGTGCTTCAGCTCTCTTGCGAATGTCCCTTCCTCCGAGAAGCCCTCCCTGACCCCTCCTGCCCCACCCGGCGTGAGTCAGACCTGCCGTTGTTTGGCACTCTCTCCAGATACATTTCCCCGAGTCTGCAGTCCTGTGCCTGGGCGGCTGCGCTGGTGCGAGCCTGTCCTGGCATCAGATCTCTGAACCCGCATTTGCCAGTTTGCCTCTCTCCGGCAGCTAGCACGTGCCTGGCATGTCACAGGTGCTTAGAAATGTTGGGCGAATAAGTGAACGACTCCCTGAGGAAGTGTAGGACGTGAGGGCCCACGGGGACTGTTGGCAGACGCGCTGTGGAGGAGGCATACAGAAGGACGACATTGGTCCAATAGCCGTGGTCTATTTCCCAGCAAAGAAGTGTGGCAGCCCCTTTCCGCCGTGTCATCTGGAGGGCGTGGGCAGAATAGGCCCAGTCGGGCATCCCCCTGCCTGGTCAACACCTGCCCTCCTACCCCCTTCCTACCCCCATCTCTCCAAGATCATAAAGGATCCCTCTTGGGCTATAGCCATGGCCCTGGACGTCACCCCATCAGAGGCCTGGGGTCATCCAACGCATCTCAACAGGCTGATGGATGTGCAGACCTGCAGTCTTGATTAGTTCCAGGGGTCAAGGGGGACCACGGGTGGAGCCCCGAGGGGAGGAGTGGGTGGACGCTGGCTCTCAGGGCAGGATGGTGTGGGCACACGAGGCTGCAGGAGGGAGAGAGGCACTGAGCTCTACGGGATGGATGGGGGCCGGGCGTGCCGTTGGCCTGCGCAGGAGGGCCCGTGGCCGTCTGTTACCATCTTTCGGAAGAACGGTCCCACCGTTTGCGAGTTCCAAAATCTCACATATGTCTAGGAATTTTTTCATGCTCGGATAGCTGGACGTGTCCTGTCTGCCTGCAGCTGGAAGCAGAATCACAAGGTCAGAGTCCCCAGCTCTGGCCTCCTGGGGCCGTACCCAAGCCCGCGGCCACCGCAGCACCCTC